CCAGCATTAGTCAGTTCACACAGACCACGTGACGAAAAACGATTCGCGCACATGACAAAACTGAGGTCATCTGATCAACGACGATCGATCGATAGGAAATAGTCTACTGGTGAGCGCATACGAACACATCATGTCCGCGCCTTACGTATAGCTGAAGCAACAAACTTCAGTGGTCATCGATGAAAGAACACATCACAGTTACTCAGTCAACTAAAAAACGCTTGGATCTGATCAAGAAATAGCACTTTCAAGGAAGTTTGAAAAACAGTAGACTGCTTTCAAGCTTTTCCGAAACACTATCCTTATGCTTCGCCAGTAATCAGATGATGTTTCTTTTCAAATGCAGTTGACAATGATTCAGTTACGGGTAGTTTTAGATAAGTTTCTGTCAAAGAGGAGTCGTTGCCTGCACAAAAGATGGTCAGCGGCTTTTTTGATGACAGTGTGATGATTGACGCAACCTCATTGTAACCGCCTCTGTTGTCTCGATGATCTTCGAAGATTAGGTGGCACTCGATATATTACACTGAAGGATTGATCTGGTCGACTTAATGGATCACATCGATCAGGTGGTTGGTGATTACACTGGTCGTGTATTTAGCGTTTGCCGTTCGAATGTAGTAGGATAAATGTCCGGCTACTCTTTAGGATAGACGCTGAGTAACGCGAAACACTGGCAATCTACCGTTCACAACTGTGTTGAACAGAGAAGCAGACACTTAGTTGTGCTGCATTGGAGGCTCCTCGGCAAGAAACTGTAAGACGACTTGTGACGGTTCCGGAAGCCAAGAAGCTCCATAAATGGCAACTATATGTAAACGGGTTTCTTTGGGATTAAAATGCGCTGTCCGACTCCCATCCCACCTGGAATCCTAGATATGTATATACGGGTAATCATTTCCGATCAGAGTTCTGCACCTTAAGCTATTCTGGCCGCGAATTATGCGAAAAAGTTAACGAATAACCGAGTTCATATTGAAATGACCTGATAAGCTTTCACGTTTTCATCAAAAGCATCTCCATCTCGATCGCTTGCAAGGCTTGTTACCGTTATAGCTTTCTTATTTGTTTCGAACTACACACAAAATATATTTTTCAACCAACAATGACTTTCACAAGTAAATCATGGGATTATTTTCACTTGCAGTGTTAAAAGCATCAAAATCTGCATAAAACAAAAGGAGTGGCTGACGTTTAGGCTGGACATTGCGCATGTAGCAAAGTTGGGCTTTTTATTTCCACTCTATGGTGTTGTTAAACCCAATGGTGACTCTCAGGAATAAAAACGTTCATGAGAGTCTTTCAGACCCGTTTAACTTTTAGGGTTTCTTAGAAGGAACGAAAGTTCCTAAAGGTGCATAAATCAACTGCAGGCCATCTGAAAAAGGGCCATGTTCAGAAACCTACGGCCACAATGAGGCAAACCGTCTCTTATTTCAGACTGTTCATAACCATGTTAACTAGCTTGACGAATTAGCGGATGGAGTGAGAGAAGCAAGTAAAGGATAAGTCACCTGGAACGATGGAATTTTAAGAGCCCCATTTCCAGCAATTTACAGGTAACCATCGGTACGAGCGACCTCACAAATGATGACAGATGTTTCAGCTGGGCTCCTTACTCAAGCGTGGAAAACTACACAGAAAAACGGTAAATGACAGCACATGATCGGCGGATCAGTTGGTTCGCTCAGCACCTGAGTCCTCATCCCAAGTACGTCACGCGATAGGCTATCAAAATGGAGGAAATGTGAGAAAACCCCTTCACTTGGCACTAGCCTGTTCGGCATTAGACTCGGGTGCCTCTACTGTACGCGCAGTACGTGTAAAGCGAAATGGATGAAAATGTCCGTCCACAGACACCGGCCATCCAATAATTCACACCATTCCTTCGGTTCGGTGTCAGGGAAAGTGTTGGAGATGACTCTGCTTTTTACGTCTCTCTCATATGGTGAGCAGATTAGTGTTGCATGCGAAGACAACCACTGGTCCATGACTTTACCTTGCAAAAGAGGCGAGATGGTCCAAGTGGTTAGCGCGCGAACCACGACCGGAAGGTCCGTGGTTCGAATCCGACCTCTGCCTCTCGACTTCCCCTGTCTAGGCTTGGGCAACCTGACAGTATCCCAACCCTCGTGCTTCCTTCTGGTGGCATGGCAGTTAGGCACCGAAAGGGTGCTACAGCTGAAAGATACTTTGCAAAAAACACCATTAATCTGTTACTAAAGCGACGGTGTGTGTTATGAGGGGCACATACTATTTCAGTATACAAAGCTCGTCGTTTCGGCTCATTTCTGTGCAAGTATTCGTGATGTGTTTCCTTGCTGATTGGACTCTGATTCAAGAGAGTTTTTCTATTCCATGTCGTGAACATGTACTCTAAGAGAAGCACTGTGCTTTCAAATAATGCGTACTACAGTGTATGACTAACGAAGGTATTGGCAGCACATTTGCTCTAAGTACGATGCTGTATGGTCGTTTAGGGAGGCTAATGATTGGGTGAAAGACCGCATTTACACGTCAGTCGCACTGCGTCATTTTCAAATACTCAAACGAAGGTCAGTAGACATGTCGTCAGCACCAAATTGTCGTGATCCTAGCTGGCGAATTTTTCACCAGACACGAAGGGAGTAGAGGGCCCGCCACACGATCGCTATCATGTAATCACAAAAGGTGATGGCATGGTGACTTCTGGCGCATGTCCGAAGTACGAATGCCTCATTCGTGTTGCATGGAGTTGTCAGAGCCAACACACACAGAGTCAAGTTACGACAGAGGATAACTATATCGTGCAAAGAACAGCCAACATTCTATGAAATCCGTATTGTCACGTCCACCTCAGGTGCAACCAGTAGAACTATATAAGTCATTGGGTCCCGGATAACAGGTTCAGATTGACGTGAAACGGAAAATACATAACAGATTTAAGACACCCAACTACTGATAGACGGGGTACCGTGGACTACCGTAATCAGACTAATGACGTTGCTGAGTAGTTTTTCATCCCAAACGAACCGTATATAAATCGACACACATCAGGTAAAAAGATAATCCAAGGCGCAATATCTGTCTTGTACAACAAAGTCAGGGTTTTGTGTTCTTCACGTGACGTAAGACTGTGTGGATGCTAATATTCAGTGGTTCGACCAGAAGCGGCAGAACATTTATTCCGACGCTTATTCGATATAATATACTTTCTACACTTGCCCCGTAATGCTAAAGAATCAATCAACAAGATATTATTATGTATTACGTATTACTACGTACATGATGTAGGCATGTATGTATTTATGGTTTGGCTGCGACGTACTCAAGGTGACTGTTTTGTCTCAACCAAATTCATCATATTCTAATGTCAGAATTCCATTAGCTTCGGGTGATAAGGATGGAAACATTCTTGCAAATCATGAAAATACAGACGAACTTGAAACGTGCACAGTGTTTGGTATAAGGTGCCGTGTGTTTGACCAATACGCTCATAGGTGGACGCTAAATTCAGGCGTCTGCAACATAGTACTCGACTGTCTCTTCATTAGTGTACGAATTTATTTCTCTAGCACGTGGTCATCAGGATATTCCAGGCAATCTCCCTAGTTTGTCGTTTTATGGAGTAAATTTTGCTTTTCGTTCTGGCGTTGGTCGTCGTTTCAAACAAAACAGGTAAGTAAGGGATTCAGATTCACAGTGCTGTCAAGCGAGTTTAAGGCAGACTGTACTGTACACAAAAAGAGGCGGAAAATTCAAAAAAGTCTTCCGAAACCGATTTCCTTACGACACTAAGATGTGCTCTGTGTGATTTCCAAGGTATACTTACAACGGGAGCATACTTTACAGATGGGAAACGGTTGCGTTAAAAGGACAACTCACGGTTTCCCGATAGACAGTTTTATTTGTCTTTACTTGATTGAGCAACCAAAAACCTGAAATGATTACCTTTTGTTTTCTCAACTTATTTCTTTTCTTGTTGAGTATAATTGGCTGCATCCGTGGTTTTTTTTTCCGAAATAGTCGAAAACGTACTGCAGAAATCTGTTACTGTTCACCAGCGGTACACCATCTCCATCACCGCCAACACAGGCAAATTAGAGAGCATCAACTGGCAAAATAAGGGCTATATTTTCGAGAGATACACTCATTTGGAAATCAATTTGGTTTTCACGGCAGACTCAATTGAATCTCTCGTTTATGATGTCCTCCAGATGAATGTGCTGCGACTTGTGAGTGGTTTCCTTTATGAAAAGAGATATACTTCGATATCTCGAATATCGTGCCAACTGTATCCTGGGGCGGCCTGTGTGCAGCACATTCAGCTGGAGAACATGACAAACGAGAGATTCAATTGGGTCTCCCGTGAAAACCAAATTGATTTGCAGATGAATGTATTTCTCGAAAACAGTCCAATTTGGGTTCTAGTAGATTATAAGGTTGACGGAAACTCGGGGACTGCGCCTACCTGATGAGCCCCAAGAAGGGCGAAACCGGTCGTGGGCTGTCGAAGAGTTTTCAGCAACCTTGTGAGTAGTTTCCATTATGAAAATATTCCCCGATATCTCGAATATCGTGCCAACTGAAACGTAAGACTGCATTTGTGTAGCATGTTCAGTTGAAGAACATCATAAACGAGTGATTCGGCTGAGTCTCCGGTGAAAACCAAATTGATTTGCAAATGAGTGTATTTGTCGAAATGATCTGACCAATTGGGTAGTTTAGATTACGGAAACATACCCATCCGAGTACAAATATGGCATCATCCTAGTGCTAGTTCAAGTAACTATGAACAACCGAGGAGCATCACACAGCTGTCGAACTAGCTTACCGCGTAACTTATTCGAGCCCACGATTTTTGTGTGATATCAACAAACGGGCTAAGAGCAGATGATCAGTCCTCATAAGAACCGCCAATACACGGTCAAGAGTCCCAATTTGATATTCAATCCCACCCTTCAAACGATCAAGTAACATGTAAGACAAGCCAAAGGAAGACATGTGCATCAAATGCTTACCTAGCAAGTGTAGATTTTCCGCTTCCGGGAAGTCCACGAACAAAGATTAAGAATCGCGACTGCCAATTAGAATCTGAAGCCTCCCGCATTGTGTTCGCAAGTCGGATGGCCTCCGGAGAATGGACAATATTTGTGCGGGTCGAAGCAGCACGTAATCCATCCATCAGAGATAACGTGACAACCAATCAATAAAACTGGAAGAGGAGAAAAATGATGGTGACAAACGGGGAGTCGAACGGGCAAGCCATTAAATACATGCATGTCCGTTTGATCCAGTTAATAAACACATGGTGGCTTCGAAGGCTGTGATGAGGATGATGCGCTGTGGAGGTTGGCCGAAAAAAGTGTACGCGTGTAGTGCGAAAGTGCTCGTCTTTCGACTCAGCCCAGATGACAGCTAGAAGCATGAGAATTTGGTCCACAGCACAGCTATATGGGATCCCCATTTTGTGTTGTACGGCTACGAACCCGCAACTCTTTGTGGGAGTGTGGGCATCACCAGTGTGGTTTCGTTCAATTACTCGCCATATGTGAGGATAGGCTAAACTCAGACATCATGCAAACCATTGGCGAAGTTCGTAGCACATATTCAACAGCTATGACGTCAAGAATTGCCGTGCGGTGAGCTATGGATTATATTTTTTGCGTGGCACTGTGTTAATAGTGTGGGAGGGGACGCGCGCAAAGAAAAGGGGTCAGTTACAAAACAATCCCGCACTTTGCATTTGGAAATGCTACTCACAGTCGTGCCTGCAAAATTTAACCTGGCTATGGAGGGTAATGCACAAAATGTTCGTAAGCAGCATGCACGATTTCATAGGTCGTAGGTGAATATGCATGGATTCGGTTGATGAGTACGGATAGAAAGGCAGCAAATGAGGCGCAACGTTCAAACAAACTGAGTCCAAATGATTTTGTTTACCACCAAGGAAGGAATGGTGGCCAGTGGGAGGAAGGAGCAATAACGAACAATGTACACATTACGTGCGGTCAGGGTCTAAAATTTCATGAATAAGCAGGTGGATAGTAGGTTGACCGGAAATACTTTGATTTGTCGGTGTCGTGCAGCACTAGTGGAAAAGACCGGCGCCTCAGTGCTGTACGGCTGTATCAATTCGTTCAAATAAGAAAATTTGTTACAAAGAAGCATAAAATGGGAAAGGATAAAACGTATAATGTTCGACGTATCTTAACCCTAGGTATTGACTCGACAAGCTAGAAGGCAACTAACAGCGACGTGCTTGGGTAATTACTACCCAAATTTGTTAGGCTTTACGACGACACTTAGGGCAGAAGTAATCTTAAGGATTTCCGAAGAGCCAGAACATAAAGTCGGTGATTTGCTGAACTTTGTGGACTATTTTCGAATACGAATACTCGAAACCATCTGCTATACTTTGGTTCACCGAGAAGAAGCGGACACAGACACTGAGGTTGGTCACTGCTGGACTGTTCTACTTTTCCGAAAAGTTGGGAAAATGGATGGTGACGAATTGAGGGCAAAAGCTTTCACACAGGACTGTTATTAATTGTATGAGTAGGCCAGCTCTATAAGCTGGTGTCTCTCGTGGCGATGCCACTCATCATCTATACAGACCTGACTACCAACAGGTCACATCATATAATCTGACTGCTGTCCCTGCTCCACTGCCTAGCGTCGAAAAGTGCAACGGCCTCGCGCTATACATTCAGGGGGCATTGTTTGACCTCGATCCAAGACTGTCTGATCGGCATTTGGTGGAGTTTGAGAGTTTCAGTAGGCTTCGGGTATTCTGGGGGTAATCTTCAGGAAACTGACCTTCCTGACATATTTCAAGAGAGTAAAGTGTTAATGCACCGAACCACGGACAAGTTTTCAATTTGCCATAAACAGTGAGCAGAATCAAGCATTATTACGTTTGACCGGGAATTGACAATACCAAAAACCGTCAGCCGTTAACTTGAGATCCCTAATCTTACACCAACGAGCTGAACATCTCACTTCAAGTATAAGCTGTGACATCAGTAGTCATAAAATGAGATGTGGTATCAGATCAAGAACAAAGCACTGCGATGCGTAGAAACTAGAACGTCTATGACAATATGCCACTTGGAAATGTCGAATCAACTCATTTCACACTTCAGACTTCTAGCGGATCCTTCCGGATTTGCGCTTAGGAGATGGCGAAGAAAGCCCTGACGGATTAGTTATCGCGAGAACTTGCAACAAACATGTCGACACAGCGAAAAAAGCGATTCGCTTGTGCTCATCAGCCGAGAGGAAAAGATTCAGAGCACCGTTTCCTTTTTCCAGAGTGAATGCCCCGTCAGTTGAGCCATATGAGCAGATTTCATGTTTATTTCGCCAAACTACTAATCGGTGCAGCAACAGAAAGATCGTCAGTGCTACTAATTAGCTCACAGCATTACACCTAGGATAAATTAGTTACTGTCACTGGGAGGCTTCTACGACACTGCGATTGTAGGACGAGAAGAGTTTAAAGACCTAGAAGGAGGCCGGTTCAATCGTGACCTTTTTCCTAACGAATGGATCTCCTACCTAATATACAGTTCCCTATGAATACATACATGGAATCACAACTACGCACCATATAGCGAATTTCCTACATGATTTAGCACGCTTGCACCAAAGATGTCATTTCTGTTCTTCTTTACAAATATAGAAACCATGAACATTGGACCACCAAGTGATTCTGTTACCGCTTTGCGACGGAACGACGATACAAGCTGAAGCTCAGTCATTCGCTACGTTTGAATCGAATGTGTGTAGCTCTATTCACACTCGGCGGCTACGAGATGTTTAGAGGGAACGATCGATAAATTCCAGCCGACGGTATAAAGACAGAATAAAGTTTCAGTGACCAATCACGGGCTAGGTAGCAGGTGGCTAGGAACAGTTAGTTAGCTAGTTAGTAGACAATAACACCTGTGGCTGTAGGGCAACACAAACCAACGACTCCTAGGCAACCATACATCAAAACTGTAGCATTTCAGCAATTACAGAAAACACTTTCATCTTTCGTCATTCTGTATAATTCGCAATGAGTACACATAAGTCCGCGGAATAGGTAGAGCGGTTTCTGAGTGCTAGGAACCACAACTTTTACATAGAAAGGCTATCCTTTATGGTTCTAATCGAGTCAATTACGCTACTAGAGAAATGTCATCAGGACATAAAATCATCCTCTGTCAAGAGGCGTTTGACGTACACTATGGAATAATATGCTGTACGACGAGAGAATTGATAGTAAGAGAAATTCGCGTAACTAAGAGATCATGGTGTACGCCTGCCATGGACAGTCCTAATCTCGACGTGCAACTTGTCACGTTTGGGTATCCATGACCATCCACCAATCATCAGAACATCCCATAGGAGTAAGAGAATGAAAAGACATAAGGGTTATAATGATGGACCAACTGAGAAGCATCGACATCCCGGTTGACACATGTGACTTAGGAGACCATCTTCCTTGTTGTGGTTGAGTATCACACCAAGTTTTCTTAAACAGGAACCCTCGTACGGTTACCCGATTTCATTCTTTCTCAATTAAAAATCAAAAGGTGCATAGCATCCCATACACAACGTATATGCTGACTATACTACTAACAACTTTGCTTTCCAGTTGGTCAGATAAACACGATAACTTCGATGCTTGCGATGAGGACAACTCGACAACCGAGTGAAAAATAGATCTGTTTGTGGTCGACTGCGTTGGTATAGGTGAGCACTGACAGGCAGTGAAGTGCTCATTACGATGCTCCGTTGTCTCGAAGCTGGTTTGGCAAAGCCTGAAAGATCTGTTTGTGGTCGACTGCGTTGGTATAGATGAGTACTGACAGGCAGTGAAGTGCTCATTACGCTGCTCCGTTGTCTCGAAGCTGGTTTAGCAAAGCCTGAAATTTATTAAGCCTTGAGCTTGCGCCATTCAAGTGTTATCCCACAGTGGTACACTTGCGGCTCCAGAAGTTTTAGTGGATTCGGATTATCCACCTTTTCTGTACTGACCAAGCAAGCGCAGAATAGTCAAGAATCGTGACATAGCATATGCGTTTCGGGTGTTGTATCCTGATACCCAGCACAGTATGTGACGTGCAGTGAGAACATTGTGGGAGTGTTACAACATTTAGGAGAGCACCTGTCGAGTAACTGTGGAACTAATCGACCAGAGCGACGCGCAGACGGCAGACAGGTGTCTAGACAAAGACAACGCGAATTCGAATAAATGTAAATGTGTAAAGTAAGGATTAATCGGCGCGACATGAATTATCTCATTGGCGTAGCAACCAGTGATATTTAGCACGTGCGAATATTCAGACTCAATTGCTTAAGGCAGGAAGTTGCATTAGCTCTGACGGTAGTGTGGCAGACAAATTCAAAGCACGAACCTCAAAGACCAGAATTAGTTCTACCAACTGTGACATCAAAATACCCTAATAGGTCTCAAAGGACGCGTGTATCAGACTGAAGTGCGGACTGTATTGTTATACCGCTGCGGGACTTGGCCACTTCAGACGGAAGATAAGAGATTTCTCTAGGTCTCTGAAAACAAGGTCTCGCGGTTATGGTTAGAATCGCCTGGAACCAGGAAACGGGTCTTTGGTGAAGCAGACGGTACTTCACTCAAAGAACCTATCCAGCATTGCAAGCTAAGTGGCTGAGCCATGTGTTAAGCATGCCAAGTTACCCACTATCGAAACGAGCGCTGCTTTCCGTGTCTAAGTCACAGTAACAAACCTAAAGGGGGACAGAAGTTGACATGGCAGATGGGAACGAAAGATGTTACGAAAACCTCGGGTGCTGTTCACCTTCCATGATGAGGCCCACGTGACGCTCTATGTGCTTGGCTGGCGATACTGGATGATATAGTGGCTAACCGATGTCAGTGACGTTCAAGATGTCAGTTTCCATCCCGATTACCCGACTGAGTGTTAGAGATGTAGGCATCTCGCCTATTTACGGGGTACCAACCGTACATCCCTTCTCCCTGTCGCATTTTCTTCTCATTAAAAGGCTTTATTCGAATAAATTGACATGGTTGTACGCCAGCAAAGCACCAGTATTTTTCTGTGTTGCTGCTTTCAATGATGATGACGATAATCAGGCCAGAGGTAATTACAGTTGAAACAAAGTCGATTAAGTTCCGAAAGTATCAGAGGATGAAACAGCCAGAAAGACGCACTGAC